TATAACCAGATACCCATGTTCCGACCTGATGAGAAAGCTACATCGTTCATTACGGACAGGGGTCTGTATTGCTACAAAGTCATGCCCTTCGGATTGAAGAATGTCGGAGCTATATATCAGAGGTTGGTCAACATGATGTTTGCCAAACTCATTGGCAAAACCATGGAGGTCTACATTGACGACATGATGGTTAAAAGCCTCCAGGCAACCAAACATGTGAGTCACCTCGACCAAACTTTTCAGATACTTAGAAAGTATAATATGAAATTGAATCACCTCAAGTGTACCTTTGGAGTAGCATCGGGCCAGTTCTTGGGGTATATTGTCAATCAGAGAGGAATTGAGGCGAATCCAGTGAAAGTAATGGCCTTGCTAGAAATGAGGTCACCTCAGAAACCGAAAGAGGTCCAAAGTCTCAACGGTCGGATAGCCACACTCAGTCGCTTCATCTCCAGAGCCACAGATAAAAGCTTGCCTTTCTTCAATGTGCTGAAACAAGGAAAGAAATTTCAATGGACTTCGAAGTGTGAAAAAGCCTTCGAGGCTCTGAAAAAACACCTTGGAAAGGCGCCCCTCTTGTCAAAACCTCAACCGGATGAGTCTCTACTGCTATACCTAGCGGTTTCGGACGTGGCGGTCAGCGCAGTCCTAATCAGAGAAGAAAATAAGCGCCAATTGCCAGTGTACTACATCAGTAAAACACTTCTCCCAGCTGAAACATGCTATCCAGACATGGAGAAACTAGCACTCGCCCTTATCACAGCCTCAAGAAAACTGAGGCCATACTTCCAGGCCCACTCAATACAAGTTCTCACAAACTTCCCACTAAAGCAGGTGATGCAGAAGACAGGTGCATCAGGACACCTACTAAAATGGGCAATTGAGCTCAGTGAGTTCGATCTAACGTTCCGACCTCGACACGCCATCAAAGGTTAGGCCCTTGCTGATTTTATGGTTGAGTTTGTCAAAGCCCCAGAAATGAAGGCGATAATGGAACCGACCGAGCCCCCCACATGGAAACTGTTCATAGATGGGTCCTCAAGAGAGGCTGACGCAGAAGCAAGGATTGTATTGGAAAGCCCAAAAGGCCAAAGCTAAATTGTGCAGTGAGATTCGACTTCAAAGCCTCGAACAACGCTGCTGAATATGAGGCCTTTCTGACAGGTCTTAGACTCGCTAAGGAGATGAGGTTCAGGATGCTCCTGGCAAGTAGTGATTCTCAACTTATAGTAAATCAGGTCAATGGAAACTTCGCAGCCAAAGATGGTAGCATGATTGCGTACTTGAAGTTGGTTCTGGACATAATTCCTCATTTTGAAAGGTTCGAACTGACTCAAGTCTCCCATCTAGAGAATGCACATGCAGACGCCCTTTCAAAATTGGCCAGCAGCATGGATTCAGAGCTGCTAAAGGTCATCCTATTGAGCACCTATCAAAGCCCTCCACCTCTGGAGGTGAAGAGATACTGTGGATAGAAGGCACCCCATTATGGATGCAGCCCATCATCGCCTACCTAAAGGATCAAACACTGCCTGCTTCTAGAGGTGAAGCAAGGAAGTTAAGAAAAAGGTCTGCACACTTCGTCCTGCACGAAGATACCCTTTACAAGAGAGGCTTCGCCTCGCCTCTTCTTCGATGCGTAGGAGGTGAAGAGGCCACATACATACTCAGGGAAACCCATGAAGGAATCTGTGGAAATCACTCCAAAGGAACAGCTCTGGCACACAAGGTTCTCCGTCAAGGCTACTTCTAGCCGACCCTGAAAAGGGATGCTTACCAGTTTGTCTAGAAATGTGACAAGTGCCAGCGCTTCTCGAACATACAAAGACAGCCTGCTCAGAACCTCTCCGTAGTAACCAGTCCTTGGCCATTCGCTAAGTGGGACATTGACTTCATTGGTCCACTCCCAAAAGGGAGAGGAAGTGCAGCTTTCGCTATTGTCGCCATTGACTACTTCACTAAGTGGGTCAAGGCTGAACCCCTTGCCAGGATTACCAAGGCTAATACTACCAAATTCGTCTGGAAAAACATCATTTGTAGATTCGACATTCCCCACTCCTTAGTTCCAATAATGGAAGGCAGTTCGACAACAGGAAGATGCGAGACTTATGCGATGAATTGGGCATAAAGAAGGACTTCTCGACACCTCATTACCCTCAAGCAAATGGGCAAGTTGAGGCAGTGAACAAGACTATCAAGCTCACCCTGAAAAGGAAGCTTGATACCTCAAAGGGGGCCTGGGTTGACGAACTCCCCCGCGTCGTCTGGGCTATCAGGACTTCTTGCTGGACTGCAACCGGTGAGACACCATTTTCCATGACCTACGGAGCCGAGGCCATGAGTCCGATCGAAGTCGGGGTCCCATTACATCAACGGGTGCACTTCAATGAGATCAGCAACGACGAGGCTCGAATAAATGAATTGCACCTCCTTGAGGAAAGGAGAGAGACCTCCCAAGTGAACTTGGCAAAGTATCATCGAAAGATGACCCGCTATTACAACTTCAAGCTCAGAAACAGAACTCTTTGCCTAGGCGACCTCATCCTCAGAAGAGTCTTCCAATCTTCAAAACCAACCGGGTCAGGAGTGTTTGGCCCGAACTGGGAAGGCCCTTACCACATCCGCAAAGAATCCCGACCTGGTACCTTCGAGATCGAAGATAGGGCAGGAAAGGCGCTGCTTCATCAGTGGAACATCGAACACTTGAGGAAGTACTATCAATGATGAGCCTTTATTTCGATCTGATCTCAATATGTTATAATGAATCGATTGTTCTGATCTGATCTCAGTTTTAAATTCCCTAACTTACTAAGTGCTGGAATTGCCTTGGTAAAGGGTGGTGTAATTCATCTCATGTAATGAAGCTTCGGTTCCAAACCACATCAGTTAGTAAATAGTTTCCTCAGTCCTTCAATAGGTTCATTAAAGTGATCCGATCTTTAATTATTAGCTGATTAACGTTAAGGGGCTCTTCTTGTTTGCTTAGGTGGTCCGCTTCATATTAACTTAAGTGGTCCGATCTCAAATTGTTAACAGGTTAGCATTAAAAGTCGCTTCGTACTCGCTTAAGTGATTCAACTTATATTAACTTGAGTGGTCCGATCCGCAGTTATTAATTGGTTATTGTTACGAGGCAATTAGTCTGACGCTTGTCATTCATACAAGTATGAACAGATTGAAAAGATAAAAAGGCAGAAGCACAGATACTTAGCAAAAATTTCATTTCATTGAATAAATTTAAGTACAAGGAGGCCGAAGCTATTACAAAGGGTAGCCCTACTTTGCTAGAGGGACTTCTACATCGACCGCCTCCGAGGCCTCCAGAGCTTCCTTGGCGAACCTATCAGGCCGACCTCCAGTTGGCCCCTTGAACTCTGCCTCCAATGAGGATATGTCCAAAGTGGTGTGCACCTCCTTCAGTCGACCCAATAAGCTTTGGGCACTCCATGAGGCCCAAAAATTGGCGAAGTCGTCATACAAGGGATGGTCTTCAAAGTGGTCGATGAAGTTCTGAACTGCCACCTCTCCAGCAGACTTCAACTCTTCCTTCAAAGAGGCAATCTCCTCTGACTGAGCATCTGCCTTCTACCTCAGCTCCACCTTCTCTTTGTTGGAGGCCTCCAGAGCCTTGGTGGCGAGCTTGTGGTGCTCATTGGCGTAATCAAGCCGTCGAGTCACTGCAGCCACTTGGCACTCCACCTCGTACAACTCTTTCTTCAGCCGCTCCACTTCTGCTTTGGCGGTAGTTAGCTGGGCCTCAGCTTCCTTCTTCCCCTCCTCTACCTGCGTGGTCTTGGCCTGGGCCGCTCACACGGCATCTCCGTAGTGCATCGCCTCCTCGAGGTGCTTGGCGAGGTCCTTCCTCTTGGAGTTCAGATCCTTCACCAAGCCCTCAAGCTGGACGCTTGTACTCAGGGTCCGAGCTACGCAGGCACTATTCGCAACCACCAAATCCTCAGCTGTGTAGAAGGCGGTGTGGTCCATCCACTCCTCGATCCAGTATTTGCTATGGACCACCGCCACCATAGTTGTTTCTGGAGGAAGAGCCTCCAACACTTCCCTTATGGGCTCCTCCGGGTTTGTACCCAGAAAGTCGACCTCCTTAGAGGGATGGGGTCTCTTCCTCTTCTACTGCCCCGACACTTAATCAATTGGCATGGCAACGAGGGGTGTTGTGGCCGGGGCAGTGACAGGCTCAGTTGGGACGAGCCTCTTCTCCAAAATGGCCACCCCTGTGGGAGTTGTGGTTTGCCTCAGAGCAGGGGGTGTCCTCGCCACAGTTGGGCATTTTGGAGGGGCGGCACTCTTCTTGCCCTTCCTCCGAAGGGCAGCCTTCGGGTCCTCTGGTACCTGCTCTTCCGTCGGAGGCTGAAGCCTCTTACTGGCTTCCACTCAATCCTCCATTTGCTTTTTGTATGAGGAGGAGGAGGCCTTCAACGCCCGTGCCTCTGCCATCATCTTCTGGATGGTCTTAAAGTTGAGGCACACCGGCATCTTCTTATTAAAGTTGTCTGCAAAGAGTGAATGAGGAATTAGTACAAGTGTTGAGAGTTTAGAATAAAAAGTAAAGACTTTGGTCCAGTTACCTTGGGATGCCATCAGATCGTGAGTAATGAAGTGGATGTTCTTTCGGATCAGCCTATGGTAAGACCTCTTCTTTTGAAGCAGCTGATAAATGATGCAGATGGTTTCAAAGTCCTCGAATGACAACTCGCACCGAGGAAGAGCACCTACAAAGAAAATGTAAATGTTAGGCACAATTCAAACCGAAGAGAAATATAAGGAAAAACAACTATTATACTCACTAAGTGTTGAGTACTTCATCAGGACCGTAAGAGGCGCCAGGGGGTCCCCCTCCATCATGTCCCATCGCCCTGCGGCCCAGCACCACGAGCTCTTCCATTCTTTGATGGAGCTCGGTAGATCGAACATGAATGGAGTGTGGGAACCCCATGAA